GATGGCCTCATTGGTGAATTCTACCAAATATTTCCTAAAGAAGTAACATCAATTCTAAAAGTTTTCCAAAATAAAGAAGATGAAGGAATCGGGCTGCGACCCTGAAGGTCAGCGGTTCAAAACTACCAGCAACTCCGCGGGAGAAAGATGAGGCTTTCTACTCCCGTAAAGATTTACACCTTTGGAAACCTTGTACAGGGTCGCTATGGGTCGGAACCGACTCGACGGCACTTAACAACAACAACAACAACAACAACCAAACATTTCCTAAAGAAGTAACATCAATTCTAAAAGTTTTCCAAAATAAAGAAGATGAAGGAATTCTCCCTTATTAATTCCATCAAGTTAGTATCACACTGATGCTACAAGCAGACCACTCACATAATGTAGATGTAAAGTCCTCAACTAAATTCTAACAAACTGAATACAGAAACATAGCAAAAGGATTATACATCATGACCAAGTAGGATTTATTCCAGGAATGTAAGGATGGTTCAACATTAAAGAATCAATCAGTGCAATATACTGCATTAATAGAACAAAGGAAAAGAACCATATGATCATTTCAATAGATGCTGAGAACACTTTTGATAAAATCCAACACCCATTTATGATAAAAGCACTCAACAAAATAGAAATAGAAGGAAATTTTCTCAATATCACAAAGGGCATTTTTGAAAAACTTAAAGCCAACATCATAAACAGTGGAGAAAAGACTGAAAGCATTCCCTTTAAGATCAGAAACAAGACAAGAGTATCTACTCTCATCACTGCCATTCAGTATTGTAATGGCAGCTCTAGCCAGAGAAATTTAGGCAAGAAAATGAAAGAAAAGGCATCTAAACTGGGAAGGAAGAAGTAAAACTATCCCTCTTTGCAGAGGACATGATCCTATGTGTGCATTATAGAAGGCCCAAAAAAGAATTTACACGATAGCTACGGTAGTAATATATGAATTCAGCAAAGTGGCAGGATACAAGGTCAACATACCAAAATCAGCTGGATTTCTACACATCAGCAAAGAACAAACTAAAAAGGAAACTAAGACAAAATTGGCCAATCCCTGCAATTACAGGGCAGGCTGCAGCCCACGACCAGACAAAAAGGCAAGTTGTTTACAGACTGCCCAGACAAAAATAACAAACCCACTAAGGTAGAAAACTCTGGCAAAGGCAAATTCCTCAGGGATTAGGGGGGCAAAGTCTCTCCAGCTGCTTTTCCAAAGAACTAACGCAAAGAGCCACATAGAAGAATTCACTTCACCACATCTACGGTTAGGAGTGTGGTGCTGTAGGATAAGTTCTCTACTGCTAACTACAAGTTTGGTGGCTCAAACCCACCAGCTGCTCCTTGGAAACCCTACACAGGGTCACTATGAGTCTGAGTAGGCTCAAAGGCTTAACAACAAATAACAACAATGGTTGTTGTTGTTGTTGTTAAGTGCCACCGAGTCGGTTCTGACTCATAGCGACCCTGTATAGGGTTTCCGAGGCTGTAAATCTTAGTGGGAGCAGAAAGCTTCATCTTTCTCCCGTGGAGCAGCTGGTAGTTTCGAACTGCTGACCTTAAGGTTTTCAGCCCGATTCGTAACCACTACGCTACCAGAGAAATTTTTAGATTTGACACCAAAATCACATTCCATAAAAGAAGTAATTTATAAATTGGACATTATCAAAATGTAAAATCTTGCTCTGTAAGTGACACTGTTTAGAGAATGAAAAGACAAGCCACAGAAGACTAAGGGACAACATTTTCAAACCACATATCTGACAAAGAACTTGTATCAAGAATATATAAAGAGTTTTCAAAACAGTAAGAAAATGAACACAACAGTTTAAAATATGCACACTTTTAAATAGACACTGCACAAAAGATTTAAAAAAGGAAATAAGTTTATAAAAAGATGGTCAACATCATTAGCTATTAGGAAAAATGCAAATTAAAACCATGACGAGATACGACTATAGGTATACCTATTAGAATGGCTACAAAAATAAAAGATACTGACAATACCAATTGCTGGTGAGACTGAAGCAGCTGGAACTCTTAGACATTGCTGGTGGGAACACAAAATGGTTCAATTACTCTGAAAAACAATTTGGCAGTATCGGAACTATGATATTATGCTATAATTTTGCAACATATTACCATTGGAGGAAACTGCATAAAGGGTATACAAGATTTTTGTATTATTCTTATAATTACATGCAAATCTACAATTATCTCAAAATAAAGTTTAATTTGAAAAGGTTAAATACCACAGGATTCCATTTACATGACATTCTTAAACAGACAAACTGTACTTACGTAGTTCAGCTCTGTGGTCGCGAGGAGTTATATGTGGGGGAGGACATGAGACAGTTTGGGGGATGATGAAACTATTTTCTATCCCATAAACTAATTATACCAACTGTGGGCTAATGCGCTAGACTGCAAAGTCGTTTGGGTCGGAAATGACTTGACAGCACTTAACAACAACAATACATGCATTAACATTCATCAAATTGTAGAGCAACAACAAAGTAAAATCAATTGTATGTCAATTAGAAAATTTGTGGGTGTCTACAGGATGTTGTGTCTTGACCAAACAAAATTAGAAAGTCCAACTGAGAAAATGCTTTAGGAAAATCATTTGAAAGAGGGCAGGTTCACTAAAATATTTAATTCCCAAATTATATTTTGACATTATTCTCCAGTTCACAGAAGAGTGCTGTAGGATATATATGCAGGAAGCCAGGGATTGCATTTTCCCCCAGGCTGTCGTTTAAGAAATGTTTTGAAACTCAGTTCCAGGAAATCTTTACTTCCCGTGAGGATTGGTGTGCTCTCTCTCCTGATGGTAAGGTGAGCCATGTAACTGGATGCATTTCCCTTTTTGCTATGGCTGCCAGAGAGCTCAAAGAGAAACTTGAAGCTCAACAATTAGTACCTGTTGTATCTTAAATCCTGCATGCACCCCCATTCTAATTTGGCCTTGATATACTTTCTTTTGTATTTTTCCTGATGACAGTGCTTATTTATAAATATTTCATGTGTTTTTTACAGATCTGATCACTACCAACTCACTGTCATAGAATCAATTCTGACACATAGTGACCATATAGAATAGACACTACTTAGGACAGGATAGAAGTACTACTTAGTTTCAAGACTGTACATCTTCATAGGAGCAGACAGCCTCATCTTTCTCCTGAGGAGTGACTGGGTGGGTTTGAACTGCCAACCTCGTGGTCAGCAGACCCAAGTTTAGCCCACTTTGCCACCAAAGCTCTTGATCTCATTACATCCATAGTAAAACAAAGGAAGGAACAGACAGACAACATACTTACCAGGGATTTGGCCATTTCTTGACCTTCTTGAGAAAGGGTAAAGATGTGTGAAGGCTGAGCTGGAACAAGGGGGGAAGAAAAGAGGGTATGAGAGACCTCATCAGGCTTTTGTTCAGTGGTCTGAATTACCTATATAGAAATCCTTCTACAAAGCTGGCCATGAGGATAGGATGCTCTTTGGAAGAGGTGGGCAGCCATGTGGTTTTAGCAACAATCTGTGTACTCCTTTTCTCATGTGAACATTGAAAATGAAGGTTTTTTAAAAAAATATTCTATGCATGTGTAACTGACTAAAAAAATTGTATTTCTAGGCATTTTCCTTAATGAAATAATTTATTAGAATATATCATACATATTTGAATATATTCTATAAATACTTTATTAGGATATAAAGTAATTTATTATAATATGTACACGCAAAAAATAATTTAAAAAAACAAACCTTCATTTTCAACGTTCACATGAGAAAGGAATACACAGGTTGTTCTTGGTGTGGCATTGTGGGTTAATGCACTGGACTGCAAGATTGGTTTGGATCGGAAGGTTGGTGGTTCAAACTCACCAGTTGTTCCTTGGAAACCCTATACAGTGTTACAGTGAGTCGGTACCAACTTGACGGCACAACAACAAATCATACATAATTTTTCTGTAAGTTCTTTCATCTCAGCGTTGATTTCAACTTAAGAATGTTTTTAGGAACTGTACACTTTATTTATTATCTTTTACTTCTATATCCAAACATCTAAATTAGAAGTTGGAAAAAAATTCTAGAAAACTATACATCAAGCTATGCTTCTAAATGGGGAAGAAAAAAAAGTAGCTTGTAAAACTACAGAAACCCATCTAAGAACTATGCAAAATGTTTAAAATACACGACAAATGTCTAAGAATACACATCTAAATGTGTGTTGTTGTTGTTAATTGCCCTCGAGTCGATTCCGACCCATGGAGACCCTGTATAGGGTATCCAGGAGCAGCTGGTGAGCTTGAACCACCAACCTTGCAGTTCAACCAACTTTGGCGTCTGATGCATTAGCCCACAGTGCCACACCAGGACTCCAAACGTGTGCAGGGGGTGAAATTAGTCCCTTTTGATTTTCTTTCCCCCTATTTCCTACGCAATCTATAATTAAAATATGTTACTTAACTTGCTAAACAACAAAACAATGAGTATAAAACTATCAATTATCCTAATGACGTTTTAACTGGATCTTCCTCAGACCTTAGGGCACCAGGCCCTGCTCAACCCACCCAGTCCCCAGACTCAGTGTGGCCCCTCGACGAGTGAGTTCTCTCAGGTGCCTCTTCTTCCCTCTTTCCTCACCTCACACAGGCTGTCTTGGTCTGGAACCTGAAGGAGCACTTCGGGTGCAGATTCACTTCAGCTGGAGCATTCACAACAGGCTTAGGGAGGGTGAGAAGAGCAGAGTGGGGAGGGGGAGGATAAGGAAGATAAGGAGGGGCCTGCACCCTGAGGAGGTGCGGCTGGACCCTTAGCGCAGGTCACAGTGCTGGAAATGTGTAAAATTCAAAGTTCGATAAGCCCATTCAATCCTAACTATCCCCCTAACTTTGCCTACTATTGAGCCCACAGATAATCTTCCATCGCTGACCTCTCTGTCCCCCCCTCATCATTCACCCAACAGACATGAATGTTCCCCACAGACCTACCTCCCTTCACTCATTTCCCGGAACGCCCCCATCACTCAGCCCACACCCTCTAGGATTCTCCTCTTCAGCCCCGCCCCTCTCTCCTTCTATTTTTCTCTATCTTGAAAACAGATTTTCGGCTAGCCGCAAAGGCCACCGTTACAAGAACTGTCCCCGAAAAGCACTTCCGCTTTAGGACCGACTCTTTAGCATCTAAAGGGTTGCTGCGTCCAATCCTGCGCACGCTCGGTTGTAGCTTTGAGACAGCGTCTGCCAGGAGTCAACATGGGCACACACATACACACACTTAAACACACACTTCCACTTTGCCAGATGTTGTTCCGGTGGCAGCGGCGCAGGCGTGGAAGGAAGATGGCCGCACCTGTGATATCGCTGTCGCAGGCGAGATGGCCGAGCCCACTATGCTAAAGAGGGAGGGGTTACGTTTGTTCTGCGGAGGCTGTCATTTCTAAGACTTCCAGGGTGCAATTTTCGTGTGGCTGGGAGCGAAAGTATCGAATTTAGGAAAAATACTCTGGCAGGCGGGAATTTGGTGTCTTGAATTTGGAGGGCAATATTGGGTTTAGAGAAAATGAAATTGAACAGCAAGACAGCACACGTGGCTGAAGAGCTCTGTGTGCTCAAAGACACGGAGGGAATGGTCACTGGCTGCATCCAATGGCTGGGGCTGGGAGTTTACACTCTAACGCTTTCAGCACGGTATGCAGACAAACAAGAAGTTGGAGAATAAATAAATAGCAGTCTGGAACACAGACAATAGTAGGGTGGGGTGGGAGGTAGGGAATGAGAGGTGTTAAGTAGTGAGCAATAGGTTGCTTAGTGAGCGCTGTGGCTCCATAGAATAAGCACTGGACTGCGAACCACAAGATGGGCGGTCACGGGAGAAAGATGAGGCTTTCGGCTCTGCTAAGATTTAAAGCCTCGGAAAACCTATACAGGGTGTCTAGGAGTCAAACTGACTCAATGGCACTTAACAACAACAACAGGTTGCTTTCTCTGAATGGTCAGGAGCTGTCCTTCTTAATTGGAGTTTACTGTTACACTGACCTCAAAGAACCTATCACACAAAGATCTGGGGCAAAGAACTTTCTGGTGGAGGGCACTGCTGTTGCCAAAGCACTGAAGTAAGACCTAGTTTTCACACACTGGAGGAACAGAAACAGTGGCAGTGTATTGGGGATGTAGAGGTGCAGAGAAAGGAAAGATGGAGGGGGAGTCAGGAAAGACAGGTACTACTGTAGGACCTCCTTGGCCAGGGATGGAGCTCATATTTCATTCTGGATGTAACTGGAAATCATGAGAGGGATCAGATTTTTAAAAGATCAGACGGAAGTAACCTAATATTATATGATGGTGGTGATGGTGTGCTGTGGAGGCGGTTCCAACTCAGCAAACATGCATAGCGTTTCCGAGGCTGTAAATCTTTACAGGAGCAGAAAGTTTAATTGTTCTCTCCCAGAACGACTGGTAGTTTTGAACTGCTGGCCTTGAGGTTACTAGCACGACTATGCTACCAAAGATCCTTTAACATTAAAAATACACCTACTGTATATTTGACTCTTGTTTATTCTCTGTCTTCTCCCATAGTATGTGAACCCCATCGGGATTTCCTTAAAGCATCTCCTGTATGCCAGGTATTGTTTTACACAGTGGAACTATAATCAGTGAAGAAAACAAAAACATAAGGGAAGCCAGGGTTCAAATCTTGGCTCTGCCATCTACCAGCTGTGTAACCTAGGGCGTAGCACTTCTCTCTGCTGTTTCCTCTTTTCTAAAAGGGGATAATTACAATGACTCTCTAATGGAGCTGACAATTAAATGATTCATCACTTTAAAGAGTTTAGAACAATGCCTGACACCTAACAAGCCCTTTGTAAGTGGTTATTATTATTATTTAAATAAAATTAAATGTGTGTGTACAGGCACACCTCAGAGATATTGAAGGTTTGGTTCCAAATCACTGAAATAAAGCAATGTCACAGTAAAGTCAGTCACACAAATTTTTTTAGTGCAAGGTTGGCGGTTCAAGCTCACCAGCCACTCCTCGGAAACCCTATACATGGTCGCTATGAGTCAGAATCGACTGGACCATCACCACAACAATGTATATAAAACTTATGTTTAAATTATACTGGAGTCTATTAAGTTTGCAATAACATTATGAAAAAGTTAGAAACATTGTGAGAATGATCAGAATGTGCCGCAGTACAGGAAGAGACGAGAACATGCTGACTTGCTCCAGGCAGGGTTGCCTCAAACCTTCAATTTGCAAATAGCCCGGTATCTGTGAAGCACAATAAAGTGAAGTACAATACAATGAGTCATACCAGTATATAGAGTCCTGGTGTGGTGCTGTAGGATAAGCACTTGACTGCTAACTGTAAGGTAGCTAGTTCAAACCCACCAGTCGTTCCTTGGAAACAGTATACAGGGTCACTATGAGTCAGAACCAACTAGATGGCACCTAACAATAATAACAACTACAACATACCTGTACATAAATCTTTTTAAATAAATAAATAAATAGATCATGTTCAAGATGCTTTGAGGAGAACATACTACAGAAGGCAAGGCCAGGGAGAAGGTTCCTGCATCAGGCTCAGTAAGTGATAAATGAGAACTTAGACATAACTAAATATCTACTTTGTGCTAGGGACTATGTGAAGCAAATGATATGACACAACAGTCACAACAACAGTAGCTTCAAACAAATGGAAAGGGATTCCTTTCTTGGAGGCAGGTATTTCAGAGTTGGTGTGGCAGCTCCAATGTCACCAGAGATGTATGTAACTCCTTCTGTGCCAACCTCATCTACTGTCACGTAGTCCAAAATGGCTGCTCACAACTGCCAACACTTTCATAGTTTTGATAATGTCTTAAGAGCAATTGTAATGATGATTCACCAGCTAGGGGGTAGCCTTCCTCATTGTCTTTAGGTCTGGAGTGTCACATTGTATAGGCTCTGTGTGGGACCAGCTACGACACTCAGTCACAACAACAGCTCTATGGTGCTTACTTTTCGGGTGAGAAAACTGAATCCAAGAGAAATTAAGTAACTTGCCCAAGGTCACATCGGTTCCCAAAGTCAAAACCTTAACTTTCACCCAATAATACTTTTTTTCTTTTTTTCTTTTTTAGTTCAATACCCCACCACTCAACTGCTACAAGATGTCTGAGAGACTTCATTCTAGAACCATTAAAACTAATCAAAGAATGTTTATGCCAGAAATATGGATGGAGCTTCCTAGCAGACAAGGCAAGGAAAGAAATCAGGGGTATAACGCAGATCTCTTCTATGAAGGATCATTATCTTCTGGGTACAAAGACTGTCATAATTAAGAGGTGGGAAATATGAGGGGCAGGACCTTTATGGCCCATCCCTTTCTGAACCCCCATCAGCCCTCAAACATCACCCAACATCTCTTATACATAAACACACAGCCCTATGTGGAGGAGGAAATGCTTTATGTTTGGAGGGCTTTGGGGACACAGCGATTGCCAGCTGTAGAAATGTTTATGAGCCACTGATTTAGCCCCTCAGAAACTGCCCCAGGTCCCACAATGCACATCCACAAGCTATGTGAGACCAGCTTTTCTGTTGCTGTGTTAGGACCTACCACTTTCTATCTTGTGCATACTGTACTGCTAGTCTCTCCAGCAATCTATTCATACAGTGTCATCAGGTGTTTAGGTAAAGCTAAAAAGAAGCTGGTCCCACACAGAGCCTATACAATGTGACACTCCGACCTAAAGACAATGAGGAAGGCTACCACCTAGTTGGTGAGTCATCATTGCAATTGCTCTTAAGACATTATCAAAACTATGAAAGCTTTGGCAGTTGTGAGCAGCCATTTTGGACTACGTGACAGCAGATGAGGTTGGTGCAGAAGGAGTTACATCTCTGGTGACATTGGAGGTGACACACCAACTGTGAAATACCTGCCTCCAAGAAAGGAATCCCTTTCCATTCGCTTGAAACTACTGCTATTTGTGGTGGTGTTGGTATGTGCAGCCAAACTGAAAAATTAACAATGCATCCAAGTTCTCTGTTTCGGCCCATGTGAGTGTCAGTAAACAGCCATATGGAATAGAGGTGAATATACAAATAGAATGGAGTGAATGGGGATAACCTGGGGCAGAGTGGGGGAATGACTACACATTCTGTTTGGAATTAATTTGCGATTATGGGGGAGAGTAGTAAGTGGGAAAATGAGGCATAAGCTAAGCAAAACAAGTGAAAATATGAGCAGATTTTGAGCAAATGGAGTTGATAAAGCATTAGAGTTTGAGATGATTTGAATTTGAAGGATTAGAGTATCGATGAATGGTGGTTATGAGGTATAGTATGAATGAAAACTGAATTTAGAGGGAAATAAAAGCAATTGGGGGTAATGTGGGACCAGAGGAGAAGACTGGGAGGTACAAGGGGCTGAATAAGGGAGAATTCACTTTTCATTCCTACTGTGCCTCATAACCACCATTCATTCATACTCTAATCCTTTATATTCATATCTCAAATTCAAATGCTTTATTAACTCCATTCACAGTCAATTCTTTATCAATTCCAGTCTTGGTGTAGCGCTGTAGCATAAGCACTGGACCACAAGGTCGGTTTGAACAAAAAGATCAGCAGTTCAGACTCACCAGCTGCTCCTCGGAAACCTTATACAGGGTTGCTAGGAGTTGTAACTGACTCAACGGCACCTGACACCAACAACACTCAATTGGTAGCATGTAGACATGTGCTTTTTGTCTTTTTTTTTCATGTATAAGTTCCCAATGTTTTGTTCTCATTAGGACAGAGCATTGGGAACTTTCCTAAAATTGAAAAAAAAAGGAGAAAGAATGAAAAAAAAGAATAGAGAGAGAAAAAAAATTTGGAAATAGACACTGGTGATGGTTGTGCCACATGGGAAGTATAGTTGGTGTGGCTGGATTGTACATGTAAAAATGGTTGGAATGGCAAATGCTTTGTTGTATATATTGCTACAAGGAGCTCTAGTAGCGTAGTGGTTAAGAATTGGGCTGCTAA